AGAGGAAGAGAGATGGAGAGAGAGATAGGAACATTAATGATGAGAGAGAATCATTGATTGGCTGCCTCTGCACACGCCCCACTGGGGATCGAGCCGGCAACCCAGGCATGTGCCCTGACCAGGAATTGAACCATGACCTCCTGGTTCCTAGGTCTATGCTCAACCACTGAGCCACACCGGCTGGGCCAGCCTGCTCTTTCTGATGTCCATTCTTAAGGGCCACAGAATTATGAGTTGTGGCCACTGTGACGCTTCCCCAAGGTTTACAGAAAGAAGGACGATTTGGTTCCTGTCTGGAGCTTGACAGGGGCAGGGTACTGCTCTGCGGGGCCTCCCTCCCCGTCCTCACCTCTCCCTAGGGTGATTGTTTGAACATACGACCTTCACCCCAGGACATAGTCCCATTTGGACCAACTTAGAGCCAGACAGCCCAAGACTGACCTGCATGTCACTGAACTCAGTTACCACAGTCGGGCAGGACTTTTAAGGACAGAAACCTGAGTCAAAGGTATTGTCTTTTCTCCCCAGTTTTCTCCACGGCATTTTTTAAAAATTGGGATAAAATATAAATAACTTAAAATGTACTATTTTAACCATTTTTAAGCTTATATGTTAGTGGCATTAGGTACCTTCGCCTTGTGTTCTGTGGCCTTGATTTTAAGCTTTGCTGTAATCCCGAGTTTGTCTCAGATGACGGTTCCTTCCTTCCCAGTGAGATGCTCCTAACATTTTTGTTTCAGCCGGTTAGAACCAACCCTCTGGCCTCCCGGCACCAGGCCTCAGATCTTCCTGTCATGGTTCAGTCTTGGTTTTCAAAGGTTCGTCACTAGAGCGTCGCCTGGAGAGTGTCACCCATGGCTGGGGAGGATGTCTCAGAGCGCCTTGCCCCGAGGCCTTCCCAGAACTCACAGAGCTGCGCTCTCGGCTCTCGGGTGCTGACACCTCATCGTTGGGTCAGAAATCTGCTTGTTGCACCAGCTGGTTTGGCTCCGATCCTCCAACCACACAGCCTTCCCTCCTCAGAGCCTCCCTCGGATGCAGGGTTCACCTCTTACCTGCTGGTTTGCATCGAAACTACAGGCCCCTGGTCTCTCACCAAGACCCGATGATGCTGATGGCCCCACTCTCTCCATTCCAACAGGACCCAACCTTTGCTGTCCTTACCCCGATTGAGCCCCGACACCACCTGGTCCTGGAGGGACAGAGTGGGAGATGTCTTACTTGCATGGGGGGCTGCGCCCCACGCCCCTGCTGTCACAGCATTCCCTGGGCACTGCCTGGCCCCTTGCACACTCGTCGATGCTCAGTGTTCGTCTCTGCTCTGTGCCCCTCTCCATGTCACCTTTCTGTCCTGTTGTTAAAGGCTTTCAATGATCTGTTGCTGTGTTTCCCTCTAGTCAGGAGTGGCAGGAAAGGACGCCGGCGAGTGTTCAGCCTGTCGGAGGCCGACAGTCACGGCGGCCACTGGGTTTAGTGCTTCGAACGGCAGCTGTCACGGCAACTCTGGCACAGTCCATGCAGGCAGGTCTCCTCCGTTAGCCTCCGCGGCCCACGACGCCCCTCACCCGCCGCATTTGCAGTCAGGGCTCCCAGGACACCAAGTCTTGGCCTGAGAACACCCTCAGAGTGGGCATTTCCTCACTTTCCCTGGACTAGAGCTCCCTCCCTTTGTGGCCTCATCTCACCTGAGGATCAAATCCCCTGGCTCTTTCCCCTTCCATGCCAGACCCCGCAGCCTGGAAACACTGCCCTTCTGGGCAACACCGCGCAGGCCCGGCCAGGCTCAGCACAGGCCCGCGCCTTCGCAGGACAGCCCAGTGTAGGCCACGGGGTTGGGTGGTAGATTTTGCAATAAGCAAGCAAGAAGTCAGCTTTTTCTTTTCTTTTCTTTTTATCCTGGTCTTGCTCAAAGCTAAGCGATAGATTCCGTCACATTCCAGCCAAAGGCCTAAAGTTACAGACACACCAATGGCTCTCACTCCATCGTCCCCCTCTTACAATTACGCTCTGGATAGCGGCGAGGGTGCCAGCACTGCCTTCTCCCTCGGTGCTGCCTCAGGGTTTCCCACATGCGCCCTCCCACTTGGCAGCTGCGCTTGCCAGTCAGGAGCCTCCTGCCTTCTTTTGTGTTTAAAAGCTGTTTCCTCTGAGCTTTGCCCTCTTGCTGTGCTGCTCTTTTCTCCCCCACCTCACTCAGCCTACCTATTCCAGACGAGCACATCAAACCCAGGTTTTTACTGGAAACTGCAACTCACTCAGCAAGGGTCAGCCAAGCCCCTGCCCCAAAGCCAAAGACAGCTTCTGAGGGTGCCGGCCAGGGACGTGATGGTCAGCTTGGGGGCAGAGCCACGGGGAGGCCGAGCATCTCTCATGGAAGCCTGGACATCCGGGATTTCCTACTCCGGCCTCCCGTCGTCTCCCTTGCCCCTGGCCAGGAAGCCAGAGTGTCCTCCAAATCCCTCACTTCCTGGTCCAGGCCCCAACTTGTGGCCTTAGACCTCATAAACCCCAACTGCAGTAACCTTTGCAGCTCAGCACTTGACCAGAAAATGTGTCCTCACTGGGCTGTTTTCCCCTGGTGAAACCTGCAAAGCCCCCTCCCCAGTGGGTAAGTGTGAAGGTCACATTTAAGAAGCAGTTCTTAGTTTAACAATAATAATAAGGAAAGAATAAATAAAATAAGACAGTGCTGTGGGTGACGGGTAAGAGGAGGCATGTTTTACATGGAAAATATATTTAAACAGCCATGACAATGAAGGGCCATTGTCTTCATCTTACTGATGAGGAACTGTAGCTCCAAAGAACTGAAATCTCTTGTTAGGGTCACAATATAGATTGAATGGTGGCCCCTAAAATACACACCCATGTTCTAATCCCTGGAACTTGTAAATATTACCATATAGGGCAAAAAGTGTGGTTAAGTTAAGGATCCTGAGGGGAGGAGTTTATTCTGGGTTATTCAGGCGAGCCCTGAATAATTTAATAATGTAATGAAGACATGTTTCAGATCTTAAAAAAACAACAACAACAACAAAAAAAAAACAGGCTATTTTTATAGGGAAAACCCCATCTCTTTTTAAGTGTTGGTTCTTTTCCTAAAGAAGTGACAGTGTTGTGCATAGGGTGTTCTTTGTCGGTTTGTTTGTTTTCCAACATATCTGATGGCAACTTTCCCGCATCCTTGATTTTTCTCATCACCAAAAACCCCGTCAGGGATCAGGGAGAGAGGTCTGCCAGCTTTTTTGAATATCTGCCTGCAAATGTGGACGGGCAAAGAGGGAACTCTTACATAGACTTTTTGAGAAAAATGTGAAGGAAGTGCTTTGCAGCTCTGTCTCCAGATGGCACAGAAGTGCCATTTGGAGAATTAGTCATTTCTCAACTGTCCTGTCAGCAGCTCGACTTGCATGTGTACCCACATGCACAAGGCTCACGGACATGCACCCACTCGTGTGAAGCGGAGTGCGGCCGCGGGGCAGGTGAGCCCCCTCTCAGCCACACTTCCTGGTGAATGACAGGCAGGTTGTGCTGGGTCAGCCCATCACCACAGCCGTTCTTAACTGAATGAAGCCAAGTCACAGAAATTCGGAGAAACCAGAATGCGTGTGGGGTGTTCACCATTCTGTCTCAGGTCACCCTGCTTGAGTCACTTTTTCCACTAATGCCCACGGTGCCACCCTCCAGGAGTGAGGTGAGGACAGGCCCAAAGTCCCACACAGTGGTTTTCTCTGACCTTATTTCACTTAAAAAAGGGGGGGGGGCTATAAAGAAATTAACTGGGACCTTGTAGTGCTCATCTCGCCTGAGAGTCTCCTGGGAAGCAACCCTGCCATGCACTTTGGGGGCTCAATCTGTTGCTTGCACTTTCTCTCCACAATGGGGATCCTCATCCTCTCTCTCCTTTATCCATGCTGTGTGCCCTTTGGTTTTATTTTGCTCTTGGTTTTTCCATTCTGTTGCTCACTGTTGGCAAATTCTATTTTGTTTTGGCTTAACTTATAAGAAAAAAAAAACTAGAATCGCATTGGACAAAAAGAATGTCTACCACCATTCCCAAGACCCAGACTCATGGCCCACACCGTGTCGCCAGCACCTCCAGCCGATGGCTCCTCAACCCCATGGTCCATACAAATAGCGATTTGCTTTCCAAGTGAGATGCCCACAGCCTTCTTATCAATGCTTTCAGATTACGGGCATGTGACATCCTAGATGTTTTCCACAATGCCCCCCAGTCACAACCGGCGTGTCTGTCCAGGCAGGTCCGTCATTGGAAAGCAAATGAGGCCATCTGTCTGTAACCTAATCAAGGGTTTTGAAAAGCACCCAAAAAAGAAATTGCCGCTCTGAGAATAACTGTATGGGGCGGAGCCTCCCCTTCCTTCTGACTTGGTTTCTCCCTGTGGGGACCAGAATGGCCGGGGCGATCACAGTCCCTTTGTGAGTGCTAACTCAGCACCTCAAGAAGGAACAGGAGACAGCAGCCCCAGCTTTGCAAGTTAAAAAGTTCTGTAGAATTCCCTCCTCTGTCTTTTTTATTAATATATATAGCAGTGAGTTCCCTTTTTGGTAAATGTCACCAAATTAGACTCTGGAAATAGCACGAAGTGATAAGCACCCCCAAGCCCATTTCCTCCCTCCACGCGTGTTTATCATCAGGCAGGTGGGTCAGGCCTGGTGTATCCATACAGCCCCCTGGGCCCTTCCCTGGGCACCCAGGAACTGGGCTTTCATAATCCACCCCAGGATTTTTGCACAAGCCCCTCACTTTTCCTTTGCATCGCAAGTGAGGGTAGCCCTGGGCCCTGACAGATTCCCCCAGGCCTAGGTCAGACTGGTTTCACCAGCTTCTGTGCCCCCAGAAGGAGCAGTGGAGCAAGCTGTTCCCTCCACACCACCATCTCCCACCCAGATCCCCCTGGGCCTTTGTTCAGGACGGGGCAGAGGGTGCCCGCAGAGCAGAAGTCTCAGAGCTAAGTGTCCCTGTGTTTCCCCCCACCCAGATGACGCCGTGACTATGGAACAGCCTCAGCCTAACCTTCCCGAACAGTTGGTGATCGTCAGCGAAATGGAAGCAGATGCCAGGCCCTGCAAGAGCCTGGCAAAGAGCGTGGACATGGAGACGGTCAGCCTGTCCCCCAGCCTCACCCCGACCCAGCAGCCCACCATTTCCCTGCTCTGCGAGGACACGGCCGATGCACTGAGCGTGGAGTCGCTGACCCTCGTCCCACCTGTGGATCCCCACAGCCTCCATACCCTCGCAGGCATCCCCCCGCCACCCCCACTAGCCGCCGAGAGCACGGTGACCCCAGGCAAGGAGATTGCACATCCAGAGCCAGCGGGCCCCACTGAGCACTAGTCCGAGCCACGCAGCCTCCCTCTGTGGGTGTGGCTCCGCTGGCAGGGACCCAGGCCACTGACTCCAAAGACACATTGAGAGCATCGCTGTGACCATCTTCACCACCCCCATGTGCTCCTTCACTCCATTTGAATTCCTCTTTCACTTTCCACTTCTTCGAGAGCAGCTGGGACCCATGGAGACACCCTAGCAAACCCAGAGGACTGAGGTGGCGCCTCGGGAAGTGGTTGGATTCCTGGTCTGCGTGCCCCCAAGCCTGGGTGGCAGGACCCACCACCACCACTCCATCAGCCGGCCCTGCCCAGCTCACAGCTCCTCCGTGCATCCCAGTGTGCACGGAAGAAGCGGACGAGGTCACCATAGGCAGAAATTTGCAGGAAAGCGAACTTCGATCAACATCTCCTTTGGGTATTTATTTCCACTTTTGGCAGCAGGTGGAAAGCATTTATTTTAAAAGCACCTATTTTGTTGAAAAGTCCAAAAAAATCCTCAATGCTAAGGTGTAATGTCATGTAAAAAGTGTAAGATTACTGTTAAGTTTTCATTTTCGTTTTCCCCTGAACTTCCCAGTGTTTTGGTTTAGAGTTCTCAGTCTGGCGTTCTCCTTTTTCTTAAGTGATTCTTATTTACTTAAGTGATTCTTTATTACTCACTAATTCTGCAGGCCTGTGGGATGATAAGTACCTTCCTGGAAAGTTTAGAATATTTTTTAAACAAAATAAGGGAGATACGTGTATTCTCAGGTACACAGGGAGCAGAGAGGGTGGGGGTTTCCCTGCCAGCAGCCCAGGGGCCTCACGTTACCTGAAGTCTCTTCATGAAACTGCAGTCAGCTCCTGGTTCAGCACCCGTTCCTGGTCTCTGGCCCAAAAGCAAGCAGGACAGTTACCCAGCATCCCCCGCAGTTGTCCCATCTCTGTTTGCCTAAGAAAGAACCACTGGGGACCGTGAAGCCCCCAGTAGCTGTGATGAGAGCAAAGGCGTGGCGGCAGCATCTGCATGGCCTGCTTGACCCTGTGCACTCTTCCTCTCCTGCCACCGCCAAGACACAGCTTGTGTGTTAAATGAACCCCCTCCCTGTGGGCCCAGGGTGCATGGGCCAGTTCTCCCCGGATCCAGTAAAGCAGCCAAGGTTCCTTCCTGCTTGGCACAGCCAAGCGACCCTCCCCCCTCTGCCGTGCTGAGACCTTCCACAGCTTGCCTGCCAGTGTCCACCCGGGTGGCCTCCAGACGCTCCGCCTGCTCACCACCCACCTCTCCGCCTCCCTCAATCCAGCCGCCACAGCAGGGCCTGGAGGAGACGGTTCCTGCGGGGGACAGGAGTGGCGCCAGTCAGAAGCCCTCCGGGCAGCTGTGCCCACCAATCTTCAACAAAGAAAAGACTCATTTAGGCTGAAGTTCAGGGCCCCAGCAAGAGGAACAAGCCACAGCCACCCGCAGAGCCAGGTGGGACAGGAGAGGAGGACAGTCCGTGGGGAGGAGGGCCGGTGGTACCCGTTCTCCAGCAGCCAGCACAGGTCCTGCGTGATCTGCTTGCACGTAAAACAACCCGTCCCAGGGCCATGCACTTCTGGTTTTCCAATGACTCGGGCAGCAGAACTGAAGCCAAGTGACTTCCCAGGTGGAGCCAGGCCCTCCCCGGGACCACCGCCTGCCGTCCGGAATCCAGTGGTACCTGGTGGCTTCGTGGCCTCCGGCATTGACGGAGAAGGTCTCGGCAGGGGGACAGCACACCCAGGGGCCTGTGGCAGCACTGCCCAGGCTTGGGGAGCCGGACGTAGCCTCCATGGACTGTTGAGTGAAGGTGCAGATCCCCCCAGCCAGCCGGTAGCTCACCTTTAGGTGTGTGGGTGGGGACTGCTTTCACCCGACACCTTGATGCTGAGGAGGACATATGTCCTTGTGCTGGCAGGTCTGGGGTCCAGAGGAGGCAGGCAGGGTCTTGGCTCTGATGAAGGTCTCATCTCACCAGGTCTTGGCCGTCTTAACAGCAGTGGAGAACCCCACAAACTTCACAGCGGGGCACTCCCAGGCTGGCCAGTCCACACAGAGCCCTGGGTCTCAGGTGGGGCAGAGACAGTTAAGCAAGGAATTCTTGGAGAGCCCAGAGCAGGAGGGACCCTCTGACCCATGGGCCCTTAAACTCATCTCTGATGTCAGCCTCAGCCAGCCCGCCAGCCCCACCTCCACATTCCTGCAGGAGGGGCTGGGGTTGGTCTCACCTTCCCCAAGTCCACACTGAGCTGTTGGGTTGGCCACGCTGGGGGCAGGGTTGACCACATGAGCCCCCAAACCTCAGCTTTGAAAGTTGCTGTGGCGAAGCATTGTCCTTTCTGGCGTGAGGGAGTGAGGGCGCCTCTCCCCAAAGGCCAGGTGGGGCGAGTTCAAGGAGCTCCCCAGGGAGGAGTAAAGCCACAGTGAGAAGGTGGGGCAGATGCCCCATCCCAGGGAGGGGTGGGCAGGAGGGTCCTCCCGCCCCAGCAGGCCTTCCCCCCCTCCCCCTCTGCCAGGCCTGCCCTGCTCTGTGCTCTGCAGGAGGCAGCTTCCACCCACGCACCGAAGAAACGCACCCTTCACAGACACGGGAGATCTCCAAGGTCCCGAGGTGCACTGTTTAGAAAGGCACGGGGCGAACTGATTCTCATCTTTTCTAGATGCAATAAGTGAGAACTATCTCGTGTAGTCATGTTGACACTGGGCATAAACTGTGAGGGTTCCTAATGTTCCTCCGAACTGCAAATATGTAAATAAGTTTGTCCCGAGGAGGAGCAGGGTTGGGAAACCTCACGCTTCTGGGCTGAGGGGCCGTTCCAGGGAAGTACCTGCTCACCAGGGTGACTCATGCTGCGTGAGCACTGCACACCAGGGTGGAAATGAAAACTGGAACTTCCTTGTAAATTGTTACTTGGCAATAAACGCGAAAGAGCTACCAGAATGTGACGGCTGCTTCGTGTGCTGTGGCAGGGCGGCCACGCAGGCAAAGGGCAGGGTCTCTGCTGTCTGACCCTCAGTCTGTCACAGCTGTCGGTGTTCCCGTTCCTAAAGGGAGGCAGGGCTGTTCCTGCCCAGAGCTGGGGAAACGCAGGTGCATCAGGGTCCATCCAGAAAGTACCTCTTCCCCCCCGCTCCCCTTACCCCCATCCCCACCCCCGCCAGGTGCAGTGAGCCTGGTCCATGCTCTGCGTCCCTCACCTGCGGGCCATCGCGCTTCACGTGGTGCATCTGTGGGAAGGCCGTTAACAGCCCTGCCTCCCCGGGCAGGTGCAGGGAACCTCTGCGTGTGGCTTCCACGTGCTGCTGGGCGGGGGAAGCAGCAGGGCCAGGCATCGGGAAGTTCGTGCTGGGGCGGGCTCCTGCCAGCGCCAGGACATGCACCAGCGTGAGCTCTGGAACTTTCTGGAAATGGGTTCTCACGGCAATTCCTGACGCTCCAGCTTAAACCTTGCCGGACCTTCTGGGCCTTGAGGTACACCCTGAATTGTCTCCAAAGTGAATGGGGCACCACCCACCTACTCACCTCATACCACAGGTTGAGCGATGCCTCCGGAAGGTAGAGGCTGCTGCAGAGGACAGGGTGCCCTGGGTGCTCGGTCTCCCACTTGCCCCCAGCAGGGTTCCCTTCCCCTCCCAGCCCAGGGCCTCAAAGGTGCTGGAGTCCCTGGGTTGAGGTTGGATTCTGCTCTGCACCGGGGCCGGCTCAGGACCCAGTGCTGTGCCGGTCTGGCTGCAGCCTTGCCCGTCCCAGCAGCAGCCATGCCTGGCGGGGACATGGCACTCATGCGTCCCGGTGGCTTTAGTGTAGAAAACATCTTCCTGGAAGGGTACCGTGGAGAAGGTGGAAGGCAGGCCCAGGGCAGCGGGGCCGGGGCAGCAGCTGTGAGGAGACAGCCCCAGGGGTGAGGGGCTGCTGGGCCGCGTGTGCCGGGCTGTTTGCAGGAAGAAGGAGGTGAGGTGGAATTGGTGTCAGAACCATGCGCTCCCAGACCTGGGTGGTGAGACCCTGAGCTGGCGCCTGGAGCACTGGCTTTTCCTCTTCTGCCTCCAGCTCTTGGGAAACGCTGGCTTTTCTTCAGGGGCGTCCAGAGCGTGAGTGTCCTCCCTCCGGCTGGAAGCAGCCTAGGTTTTCCCCAGGGACCCATCCAGTGACTGGCAAGAGTTTGGGGTTCTGTCCTGGAGGAGGTGCCAGCATCCTCCGATGGCACCTGGAGGTGGGAGGCAGGTGAGGGTGGGCAGCGTCCCGCCTGCAAGTGACCCCGAGTCCTGCACGGGGCAGATGGCTTTCCCACTGGCCATCTGCTGGGAACCCCCTTCCCTCTCCTCCCCGCACTTCAGGGCTGTGGGAAAAAACCTCCCTGTCTAAAGTGCTTTTCCCCAAAGGAAGGCAGGTCTGAATCACTGGCCGGGAACACTCGGGCTTTCCTGCAAATGTGCTCAAGTGTCTGGACGGGGACAGTGTGGGGCCACCCTGCCTGCCACAGGCCACAGGCTCTGCTGCCTGAGCGGCCTTCGCACCCCCAGGCCCTCCACCATCTTCCTCCTGGGCCACACGCCCCAGCTCAGCCTGATTTCCCTCCGGACAGTTGGATGTACCACCTGCACACACAGGCCCTCAACCCCTGGACGGTCAGTTCCTCGACTCCTGACTGCCTTACACATTCAGGGTGCAGGTGCCCCTGGAAGAGCAGTGGGTCTGGGTGCCCTGATCCCCAGAGAGCTGAAAACCCGAGTATAACTCCCCAAAAATGTGACCGACCGCTGATTAACACATCGTTTGTATGTGTATGTATTACATACTGTATGCTTACAGTAAATAAACTAGAGGGGAAATGTTATTAAGAGAAAATACAGGATAGGGCAAAAGTAGGTCTACAGTTGTTCTGTGGAAAACAATACAATAATTAATAATACAAGGGTAAGCTCTGTGTTTCACTTACTCATAACTGTAAGCCTACCCTTGCCCCACCCTGTACATTTACGGTGTTTCTTTCCTAAAATCCTTGTGTAATTGGACGTGTGCATTTTGAACTCGTGTTGTTTGAGGATCGATTGCATCTAAAAGGGAGATTTTCCCTCTGGAAACTGAAAGCCAGTGGCGCTTGCTGTGCCGCCATCACAAAGCAGCACAGGCTGCGGGGCTCGGACACAGGAGGTTATACTCTCTCAGTTCTGGGGACCAGAGGTCTGAAACCCAGGGGTCCGGTGGGTGATTCCTGGTTCCCTCTGGGCTCCCAGCGAGACTGTTCCCTGCCTCTCCTGGCTTTCCTGGGCTTGTGGCTGCACCACTCCGATCTCTGCCTCTGTCTTCCGCGGCCTTCTTCCCTCTGTGCCAAACTTCCTGTCCCTTACAAGGACGCCGGCCACTGCATTAGGACCCCTCTGATCCAGTAGGGCCTCATCTCGAGATCCTTCACTTCACCACATCCGCAAAGACCCTGCTCCCAGGTACTGAGGGCCGGATGTGGACCTGTCTTTGTAAAGGAGAGGTCACCAGTGATTCAACCCTCCCTACTTGCCAGAAAGTAAAGATACCATGAAAGTAAATACAATAAAAGCAAATCCCATCACCTGCATGGGCTCTGGGCCAAGGCCGCTCTCTCCCTGTTCAAAGAGAGACCAGCCTGTGTTAGCACCCACCCAGGCTTTCTCTCCGCTGGGGTTAGGGGGCTGGGCAGAGAGCAGTAGCAGCTCACTCTGGGACTCAGTATTCCAGTCTGTGTCCTTGCACCCCATCGGGTCACCCCAGGACCGCCAGTGGGAGGAGCCTGCTACAGAGGAGGCAGCTCTGCCGTCAGCTTTTTATTATTTTTATCAATTGGGGTAAAATTCACATAACAAAGTTAACTATTTTAAAGTGTCTTTGGGTTCATTCATCATGTTGTATCTATCTAGTTTCAGGGTATCTTTGTCTCCCCAAGAGGCAATCCCGGGCCCATTAAGCAGCCTTTCCCCACTCACCCCCATCCCCCACTCACCTCCATCTTTCTGTCTTGGATCTGCCTATACGTCACCTAGAGGTGGACTCATGCAGTATGTGGCTTTGTGACTGACTCACTTCACTTCGCATAAAGTTTTCAATGTCCGTCCCTGTGGTGGCGTGTGTCAGCATCTCAGTCCTGTGTAAGGCCAGACCACACTTCGTCTACTCGTTCACGCAGGCAGGCTCCTCGCCAACGCCAGCTTCCCCGTCAGGGCACCCGCCCACACCTCCCCTGCCCAGCAAATTCGCAGGAACTGCTTGGAGCTCGCCCTATCTCCATGTCTTCTCTTGAACCTGCTTATCTCCTGCACTTTATTGACACTGAGCTTTCCTGCCAATCCCCCTGGGCAGGACAGTCACTGTCAAAATACCTTGTGAGTTGCACCCTCTGCCTGCCTGTGGCGACATCTGCCTCAGAGAAGAGGTGACTGCAAAGCCCACCACCCTCTGGCTGGTCCCCGTGAGGCCCCAAGCAGGGGAGCGGGCTCACTTCTCTCATCATTTGCACATTATTCAACACTGAACACCTACGGTGAAGCAGGCACTGAGCAGTCAGACCAAGCTCTGTGCCCCCTGGAGCCAAGCTCCCAGCAGGGGAGGCAGGCAACAAACAAACAAATCCAGAAATTCTCTAGTGACTAGAAAGTGCTGTGTGCACAGAAAATAGACATAGAGCCCAGAGAGGAGAGAAGAAAGGGGCTGCCGTTCTAAGCAGGGAGAGATGGAAAGTCGTGCTTAGAAAGGGCGTTCGAGCAAAGATTGAAGGAGGTGAGGGAGGGAGCCCTGTGGATATCTGGGGAACGGTGTCCCATGCAAAGGGAACAGGGCACGTTGGAGGGACTGAGGGCTGGTGTGGCTGGACAGCAGCTGGGAAAGGCGAGCGGAGATGAGATGAGAGATGAGGGCATAGGCCAGGGGGCCTGGGAGGCCTTCTCTCTGTGAGGATGTGGGGAGCCCTGGGAGGACTTTGAGGAGAGGAGGCCGTGTCATGACCTATAGTTTATCAGGACCACCCAGACTGCTGCTCGGAGAATATTCTGGGTGAGGGTAAGAGTGCAGGCCAGAGGCTGGTTAGGAGGCTGTTGCCAAAAGTCCAGCTCCCAATCTAACCAGCCCTGCAGCTTTGCCCCGAGGGCTCCAACACGCGCGTGCACGTGTGTAAGTATGCACACATGCACGCTGCGTGTGTGTGCATTCATACACATATCCCCACTCAGCTCCTGACTCCACAACCTACTTTCTGTGTGACCAAGAGCAAGCACCTTCCCATCTCTGAGCCTCAGTTTCCCCTCCTGGTAAATGGAAGTTCACACACCTTCTTCCCAAAGGGCCGGTGGGCAAGCGTTCAGACTCTGCCCAGAGGAGCAGTGTCTGGCTCACGCAATGACCTTTTCCACCCTGAGGTGAATGGACCCGTTACCTGGCTTCTCACTCCAGGGAGTGGCCACTGGAGCCTCTGTGCAGGGTGGTCCCAGGCCGGGCAGGGGCTGCGGAGACCACGGCCATCCTTCGGGAGCGCCTGGCCTCCACAGAGGCAGCCCCCTGAATAGCCCTCCATGTGCGATGGGGCCACTCGCACATCCTCCCTGGGTGCCCCTGAGTTGTGAGAAGGTAATCATGGGAAATGCATGTGGGAAACACATTCTGAGTCTACGCTTCCCTGCCCTGCATTATTGCACACACAGCTGTCTTCTGTGTCTGTCAGCGTCATCCTCCTCATTTTTATCATCTTCATCCTCGTCATCTTTATCACCCTCATCACCAGCCTTCACGCACCACCTCTGCATCAGGCCCTGTGCTAAAATCACAGTCATCATCCATCTCACTTCATCCTCGCAATAACCTTGTGAGGTGGGTGCTCTGACTTCCCCTTTTTCCAGATGAGGAAACCTAGGCATAGATGGGCTATGAGACTTGCTCCAGGTCACAGGTCTGGGAAATGAGGCTGAGACT